ATGAAAAAATTTTCCATATTCTCTCCCTTCCTTCCCCTCCCTGAGAATGCAAGCATTTTCCATGTTAGCCCTATTGTAAAATAAAACACAGACCAACCTCTTCCCAACTGCAAAAATAATAAAAGAAAATTTTTAAAAGTATGTTTCAATTTGCACATAGACCCCACCCCGTCACTTCTTTCTCTGGAGGCAGATAGCATTTTGCGCAAGCCCTTTGGAACTTTCTTGGATCATATATTGCTGAGAAGAGCTAAGTCATTCACAGTTGATCATTATACAGTATTGCTGTTAACTGTGTGCAATTTCTCCTGGTTCTGCTAATTTTACTTTGCAGTAGTTCACATAAGCCTCTCCAGGTTTTCCCATAAGCATGCTGCTTGTCAGTTCAATAATACAACAGTATTCCACCACAATCACGTACCACAACTTGTTCAGCCATTCCCCAATTGATGGGCATGCCCTCCACTTCCAATTCTTGGTCACCACAAAAAGAGCTGCTATCAATAGTTTTGTACATATAAGTCCTTTTTTTTCCTCTGATCTCTTTGGGTACAGTCCTAGTAGTGGCATTTCTGGGTCAAAGGGTATGCACAGTTTTAGAGCAGACTTCCCAACTGTTCTCCAGAAGGTTACACTAGTTCACAACTCCACCAACAGTGCTTTAGTATGTCCCTGTTTCTCCACATTACCTCTAGCATCTGTCATTTTCCTTTCCTGTCACGGCAGCCAATCTGATAAGTGTGAGGTGGTAACTCAGTGGTGTTTTAATTTGCATTTCTCTAATCAACAACGATTTAGAACATTTTTTATATGATTATTGATAGCTTTTATTTCTTCTTCTGAAAACTGCTTGTTCATATTTGACTATTTATCCCTTGGGCAATGGCTCTTATTTTTGTGAATTTGCCTCAGTTCCCTATATATTTGAGAAATGAGGCCTTTTTATCAGAGCATTGTCGTAAAATATTTTCCCAGTTCCTCTTTCTGCTTTCTAATTTTGTACAAAACCTTTTTCATTTAATATAATAAAAAATCATTCATTTTACCTCCCCATCATCCTCTCTATCTCTGGTTTGGTGATGAACTCTTCCCTTATCCATAGGTCTGTCGGGTAAATTTTTTTCTATATTTCCCTAATTTGCTTACATCACCCTTTATGTCTAAATCACATAGCCATTTGATATATGGTGTGAGACATTGGTTTATGCCTAATTTCTGCCAGACTTCCAGTTTTCCCAGTAGTTTTTGTCAAATAGTGAGTTTTTGCCCTAATAGCTGGGATCTCTGGGTTCGTCAAACACCAGGTTACTGTAGTAATTTCCTTCTGTAATCTATTTCACTGATCAACCGTTCTATTTTCTATCCAGTACCAGGTTGTTCTGATGATTATTGTTTCATAATATAGTTTGAGATCTGGTACTGTTAGGATGCCTTAATTTTTTTTATTGACTCCCTTGATATTCTTGACCTTTTGTTTCTTCAGATAAATTTTGTTATTTTTTTCTAGCTCTAAAAGATAATCTTTGGTAGTTTAATTGGTATGGCACTAAATGAGTAATTTAATTTAGGTGGAATTGTCATTTTTATTTTATTGGTTTGGCCTACCCATGAGCAATTATTATTTCTCCAATTGTTTAGATCTGATTTTGTGGAAAATGTTTTATAAATGTGTTCATATAATTCTTGTGTGTGTGTGTTGGCAGGTAAATCCCCAAGTATTTTATATTGTCTGCAGTTATTTTAAATGGAATTTCTCTATCTCTTCCTGCTGAGTTTTATTGCTACTATTTAGAAAAGCTAATGATTTATGTGGGTTTATTTCATATCCTGCAACTTTGCTGAAGTTGTTAATTATTACTAGTTTTTTAGTTGATTCTCTAAGTATACCATATATCATCTGCAACAAGTGGTATTTTTTCTTACCACCTGTTCTTATTCCATCAATTTTTTCTTTTCTTATTGCTGTAGCTAGCATTTCTCGAATAATACTGGCGATAATGAACCAAATCCTTGCTTTACCCTGATCTAACTGGAAATGCTTTGAGTTTATTCCCATTACAGATAATGCTCAGACTACAGTAAATGGCTTGCATCATTGAAGTACTATGTCACTATTCTCATTTCTGCTTCTCCACCTTTAATCCATCCTTAGGATTATTCGTCTGCTCTTATACATGAGTATTTGGACAATCTGAAAAGCATAATCTAGTTTTAGGAATTAGGAAACAATTTCATTTTTGGCTTAGTTATCATATTAGGATGTTCCTAAAAGGAAATAATTTTTTTTAAAAATGATTATTAATAACCAGTAATTTGGGGGAGATTCAGAGCTTTCCCCTTCTTCTAAAGTTCTTTAAAAGTTCAGTTTTTCTTCAGGACATTATTAATGAGATTGTATTAACTCTCCTAGATCTTGTTCAAGACCTCAACCTGGTGGAAACTACTGTGTTCTGTTCAGGCTTGGGTGGGGTATACTTTCTTTGAACTGATAGCTTAAAACTATGGGTAGTCTGGCTGATATAGAGATACTTTTCCTATCCAAGAGATATTGAAACCGTCATTTTAATATAGCCCACCTCCAATCACATTAACCAATTAGATCTGATCGCTGTTTGACGAACCACCTACTGTTTTGAAGGGTATATAAAGTGTAAGTCCACTCCACCAGACTGATTGTCCTTGGTCTAAGAGAGCAGGCCAAATGACCATCTTTTTATTAATAACCTGATGGCCTTATTAATAAAATAATTAAATTACCCAGAAACTATGTCTCTCAAACTTTTTTAAACATCATAGTTACAGACAAAAAATAAAAATCTGAGCCCAATTTACCTTAAAACCCTTTTCTGCACATATCCCTATTGTTAGGGTGGGCTCCAAATATAAGAAAAATACTAGCTGGAGTACTTGGAGGACTATCAAGTGAATATACACTCAAGTCCTACAGTTTTAAAATTTCTTATTTGTAAGCCCACACAAATATTATTCAGCTACAAAGCTCTACATTGCTACCTGCCAGTGCTAGCTTGTTCTAACAAACCCCACTACTCCTTCTCACAGAGAAGATGACATAGGAAATCTACCTAAGATAAATATGCAGGTCTCTGACAGTTTACTATAAAACAAAACCAACAATGAACTTCCTAACAATTACAGCTGCATGAGAAAAAAAAAAGGGCTGGCTGAGGAGGTTGTGGGTTCTTTGTTCCTGGAGGTCTCTTCCTGCCAAGGAGACCTGACTGTCAAGTGGGAGTTCTTGTTCAGATACCAGTCGGACTAGAGGGGCTCTGAGGGCCCTTCCAGCACAGATTCTGTGATTACTGATAGGAGATCCATGGAAGCTTATAAGCCCAGTGTGCCATCAAGGAGGGTGGAGCCAGAAGCACTAAAGACATTCCTGGAAGAGGAGAGAGGTCTTCTTTCCCTGGGTCAGGAACTCTGGGGGCAGTGAGGAGAGACAGAAAGAGCTCAGTGGCTTCTTTTCTCTCTAACTCCAACCCTCCCCGCTTCTCGCTCATCGCTAAAGAGACCTCACTAGAGGTCTTTAGCACTTGTGGCTAGGGAAGCAGTTGGCTGGGTTCCATGCAAGCACCACTCCTCTACAATTATATACACAGAGCCTCCCTCACAACCACCAGTGTGGTAGATAGGTAGCACAAGAATCATTACTGGGGTTTTCACAAGAAGAAACTAAACCCCAACAAAGAAACTGAGGCTAAAGAGTGTCAGGGGAGTCCTTCTGCTGGGACTAGGACTAGAACTCACACCTGCAGAAAGAAAAGCCATGTTCTTCCCAGTCCCTGCAGTGGACAAAAGCAGACATCACTTGTGATTCCGTGATGAAGGAAAAGAAAAAGGAACACAGGTCACTGAAAAAACAAGTTATCTTGATATGACCTATGGACTTTTGATGTTCTGAATTACAAGCTTGACACAAAGAAAGGTCCTGGTAAAACAAGTGACTGAATGTAGTTTTGTATAATCTGCATTGTGCTTTCGAACACTAACATTCTGTCATCTTTCACAATTATCTTACTACTGAAATAATAATGGTATTATCATACAACTATATTCTTGCATCTTTGTAGACTTGTAGCAATGTAAGCATGATGCTTTTTCCATAAAAGTAGGCAGTGTTTTTATAACACTCTGTGAACTTTAAATTGGCACATGATCTCATTTGATCCTAACAATCTAGAGAGATAGAAAGCACAATAATTATTCTCTACATCTTACAGCGCAGGAAACTAAGGTTCAAGGGAGTTAAGTGACCAGGTGCCCTAAGTCAGTGAGTCAGTCTTCTGACTTCAAACTCTGGGCTCTCTCCATCACACTACAGTTGCCTATGAAGTCTAACACATTCAAGCCCATTCTGAAGGGCAGCTGATACTTGCTCTTTCTTCATGGTTCTAATTTCATATATATAGACAAAAGGTGATAAAGATGTTCAGACAAATGCCATGATTCCAGATTTAATACAGAAGAACTTTCTTATAAAGCCCATGTTGGGGAAAAACAATAATGTTCAAGGCCAGTATTAGATCAGGCTTTTTTCATGCTCCATTTGAAGAGATATCATTTGACACTAAGTCTACCCAGGGATCTGTTTGCTCTTGCTGGTCTCTACTGTTCTCATTAAATGACCTGTCAAATTGAAATTCTACTTCCCCAAAACAGCCTTAGCACAAGGAGGAAGTATTAGAAATTATTTTTTCCAGGGGCAGCTAGGTGGCACAGTGGATAGAGCACCGACCCTGAAGTCAGGAGGACCTGAGTTCAAATCCAGCCTCAGACCAAAAACACATGACACTTAATAGCTGTGTGACCCTGGGCAAGTCACTTAACCCCAACTGCCTAAAAATAAAAAAAATAATAATAATAAAAAAGAAATTATTTTTCTCTCTCCAATCATTGAGGTTTTCCACTGTTGTCTAACCTCTTACCCCTCTCATACCTCCCTCCCCTCCCATACCACCACTACCAGAACCACAATTACTCACATTCCTGAAGGCATTCTGTGTCTGTGCAGTAGGACTGGGACTGTCTCAACTGAAATGAACAAGGAGGAAAGGCACGTTAGTCACAGAGTTTAAAAATGTCTGTGGATATTCTATGAGGGACAAAATGTTTTTTCCACCCACTCATGTGGGCTACCCAGTTTGGCCTACAGAAAATTTCGTTATGGTATTTTTTCAGTCACCTTTACTTGTATTATTAAGTATAAACCACCGGGACCCCATTAAGTAATATGCTAACCATTTTATTCCCCCAAATTTATTCTTTTATGATGACAAACAATACAGTCTGGGAGTTGAGTGCTTTGTTGTGGATGTGGGTAAGTCATGGCACCCCTCCCAGCCTGCTTAGTCGCCTATAAAAAGAAAGTGCTGTACTTATACTGCCCTCTCAGGGCTATTGTGAGTAAAACACTTAATAAACCCAAAACAGTTACATAAATGCAGTATGAATTACATTACAAACACAATGTGTATCTCACTTTCTCATCTCAAAACTCTTTGATATTTTCCACTGCCTCTTTTCCTTCCTTCTCCCCAAATCCCAAAAGTCTTTTGACCAAAGAGAAAAAATCTTTAATGGCCATTGGCTTAGCCAATGGAGCTCATCCCCAAAGTATGTGCTGTGTGTTCTGCTTGGTGCTGGACCATGTGGAAGAAACTAAAAAGCCAACTTCTGGAAAGGCCGGACAACTTATAATGAGCAGAAGGGCCCTACTCTCCAATCTGGAGCATGTGCACACACACAGATGGCCAGCCGGCTGTGTCTTTTCCTCTTGCTTACTTGGCTATGTTCCAGTGTAGAAGACAAGGATGTAAGCCTTTGGTGTGGAAAGATGACCCTTTAGGCCTTTATTACCCTACCAGGACCACTGCCAAGTGGTCTGTGAGCACATGGCCCTGGTGTTGCTTCTGTCTGTGTTCTGCCAATTCTTCCTGCTTTGTGGTTTAGAAATACTGGAGATGAGTAAAACCTTGTGACCTCTGAAAGGTCAAAATAGCGAGTGCCAACAGAATGAGAGCTGAATTACATGCTAGGATTTCAGGATCCAGCCAGGCCCTGATGAGTAATCTACATAACCCAGGACAATGGGAGCAGAAACAAGGACTCATCTATCAGCTATGACATATTTGTAAGTGAACTTGGTGGGGTCAATGCTTTGTAGCAAATGTTTTAAATATAAAACCATTCCTTCCTAGGGACTGAAGAGATAGATGGGAGAGTATGACTTACTTGGTTCAGAGGGAAATGCTTTGTAACTGCTGTTCTTGCTCAATCTTTGCAATAAATATGACTTCGTAAAAGCTAAGTGATGTTAACTGGCTATGAAACTAGGATTCTAATCACTGAAGGTTACTACCGAGGAGAACACACTGGAATGGGAACTGATATTAGAAAAAAATATCTCCAGCCCCTCAAGGGTATCCTTAGAATATTGAGAGGGCACATGCAGCCAGCCTAACTCTTGAAGACCTGGTAAGTGTGCATGTGGGTTGGGATAAGGATATCAAATCTTTACAAAGGCTACACAAAAAATTTAATCAAATACATAAGAAAAATGATTCCCCAGTACATAAAAGGTTAAAGGATAGGAATAGGCAGGTTTTGAAAGAAAGAAATCTAAACCATCAACAAACATTAAAAAAAATACTCCAAATCACTAATTAGAGAAATGTTTAACTAAGGCAACTTTGAGGTTCCATATCACACCCACTAGATTGTCAAAGATTACAAAGAGAAAATAACAATTGTTGCAGGGGGCTGTGAGAAACAGGTATACCCACACAATGTTGGGGGCCCTGCAAATTGGTCCAAACATTCTGGAAAGAAATTTGGAACTATGCCCTCCCTAAGTTACAAAATTGTAACCACCACAAACCACTCTACTATTAGGCCCATACTTCAAAAAGCAAAGAAAGAGGAAAACAAAACGTATATAAAAACATTTACTTCGGCTTTTTTTTTTTGTAGGAGTAAAGAAGTAGACATGAAGAAGGTACCCATCAACTAGGGAATAGCTGAACAAATTCTGGTGCATGCATGTAATGGAATACTACTGTGCCATAATAAATAACAAGGGCTGCTTAAACACATTTTTTGGAAATGGCCAATGCAAGAATTTTTTCTTTCTTTTTTCCCCCCTGCAGCGAGGGAGGAAATGTAAAAAAGAAAAAAAATGCTTATTAATGAAAAAAAATTAATAAAAAAAGATGAAGTTAAAAATTCATTTTCTGCAAGAAGCCTTTCCTAATTCCTACAACAGCTAATGCCTTCTCTCTCAAATGAACTGTACTGAACTACTTTGTATGTATTTCCATTTATTAACTTTATGTTGTGCTGTATGTTTTTAACGTGTACTTTGTTTCTTCTCCATTAAAATGTAAACTTTTTGAATGCAGTGATTGTTTCATTCTTTGTATTTGTATCTCGATTGCCTAGCACAGTGCAGGGCCCTAGGACAGATGTTTTTAGTAAGAACTTGACGATTAACTGATCTCTGGATTTATGGCTATAATCTTGTGAGAGAGGAAGTATAGTGTAATGAAAAACTGCAAGTCAAATCCCATCTCCAATATTAAATAGTTGCCAAAGGCAAATCATGGAACTTCTTCTAGAAAATAAATTTCTATTCATATCTTGTTTTTATATCACCTCAGTTTCCCAAATATATAGCTTATTCTAGGTCTCAATTTACTCATATATCTGATATACCTGTAACATTACATTATCTGGATCAACGAAATTAGGTATATAAAGCATTTTGTAATTCTTTAAGTACTATACAGACATCAGCTTGTATGTGTTTCTTGCTCTGCTGGGTTCAGATCTTGGCTCTGTTTCTCCCTACCTTGTGTGAATTTGACCTTGTTTCCTCCTCTGTAAAATGAAAGGGGGTGAATGGGCTATGTTCCAGTGTATGGTCCGAAGGTCTCTTCCACTTCCAGATCTATAGAGACTGCCCAATGAGGGCTACAGATGTAAGCTCCTTTGGAGCTGAAACAGTTTTGTTTCTGTCTGAATCCATAGCACTGGGCATGGGGTGGAGCAGGTACTCCACACACAATTGTTGAATCAAATAAAAATAACTTATGACTTCATGAAAAGCTAAAGATGCTGCAGAGGTCTATTTTTTAAAAAGATCCACATATTCCTTCATTACTGATTTCTTCTAGGTGCAATCCCCGATCCTGGCTGTGCATGACCCATGCCTCCTCTGACCTCTTCGTTAGTCCCTTTTCTTCCTTCCCCCTAAGCACAAACAAGTCTAGCCCTGTCTCTCTGTTCCGCTTCCTCTCACTGAGCGACAAAACCCCTAGACATGAATGGTTCCAAGTCCGCTCTCACTGTGTCCTCTTCCTTCCTCATCAAGTGTCACCACGTGCACGCTGGGTCAGTCTTGTGTTATCATATCTCTATGGCAGGGGCATAGACAGAGGACCGGCTGCCACCCAAACCACCCCCTCTTCAGTGAAAGTCTGACTCAAGATTTTCTCTATCTAGAACCCTCCAGAGTACCTATGACAGCCAAGGCCAAACAGCCCCTTGACCTGCTACTCTAATACCCCTCAGATTCAAAGATGGCAAGGAAAGGTCACAGAGAACCTTAGGTTTATGTCATAGATGAAGAAGGAAACCCTAGTTTCTGCGGGACAGGATCCAGGACCTTCATCTGCTGATTGGTTAATATGTATGCTAAATAAACAAATAAATAGTACACACACACACACACACACACACACACACACACACACACATACACACAATCTATATAGTGCATTTGCAAGGTACTTTACAAATACTATCTCATTTCATCCTCACAACCACCTTGGGAGGTAGGTGCTATTATTATCCCCATTTTGCAGATGAGAAAATTGAAGCAGAGAAAGGCTAAGTGACTTGCTCAGGGTCACCTAGTTAGTTGCTATCTGAGGCTGGATTTGAAGTGGTCTTCTAGATCTGAGTCTGTGCTCTATCTAGGCACTGAGCCAAATAGCTGTCGAATCAGAGTTAACCTTGTTCCACGGGAGTTAAAGGTAATATAGAACTGAAGGAACAATGGGGGGGGAATGCCATGAATTTGGTTTGGATGAATGAAAGTGATACTAATTATAGACATTTAGGTAAACTACTTATTATTTATCCGCAATTATCCTGCACCCAACAATGATTATGCCTATGACTGGCTATCCAATTAGCCTGTGAATTTCATTACAACACTAAGCTCTATTTACTTATGCTCATCAAATACCTAAATATGCTAAATTTTACTAAGAACCACCTCCATATGCAGTTTTAAGATATATTACAGTTGAGAATGCTGAAAGGTAGATATATGCACAAGGAAGACAATACAGTGTTCAGATACTTACTAGTGATTGTAAACTGCTCACCTGCCCCATTTATAAATGATATCAAGATATTCCTGACATTGGTAATTGTTGTTTGGCATGGCAGTACTATAATTGGCTTTCAAATGTATCCCTACAAATACAAAAACAAACAGTGCTTGCCCTCAAAGAACTTATACTCCACAAACAGCACCAATGTAACCAAGATTAGAAGGGAAGCAGAAAGCGGGGAAACAATTTTTACAGCCAGTGTTTCTGATAAAGGTCTCATTTCTAAAATACATAAAGAACTGAGTCGAATTAATAAGAATACAAGTCATTCCCCAATTGATAAATGGTCAAAGGATACGAATAGGCAGTTTTCAGACGAAGAAATTAAAGCTATAGTCATATGAAAAAATGTTCTAAATCACTATTGATTAGAGAAATGCAAATCAAACAACTCTGAGGTACCACCTCATACCTATCAGATTGGTTAACATGACAGAAAAGGAAAATTATAAATGTTGGAGAAAGTGTGGGAAAATTGGGAAACTAATGCACTGTTGGTGGAGCTGTGAACTGGTCCAACCATTCTGGAGAGCAATTTGTAACTATGCCCAAAAGGCTATAAAACTGTGCATACCCTTTGACCCAGCAATACCATTTCTAGGTCTGTATCCCAAAGAGATTATACAAATAGGA